GCTATGTTGTGCCATCATGGGGCCAACTTGACGCCTCAAGAGTCCATCGGAAGCGAAAAAGCGAAACATGCAAAACAAAAACACAAAAAAACACTGATGTTCCTTAGGCTTTGAACCCATGTTGGCCTCTTGGGGGGGTCCTTGGAGGGCTCGGAGGGCACTTGAAACCGTTTTGGGGCCGTCTTGAGGCCTCTTGGATGCGTTTTGGAGGCTATCTTGAGCCGTTTTGAGATATCTTTGGCAATCTTGGAGACCATCTGGGGCTAGCTAAAGCCCTCTTGAAGCTATATTGGGCCATCTTGGACGCTCTAACCCCTCGCGGGAGAGCCCGTCCAGGCCCAGGGAAGGGGAGGAGGTAAACCTCCCGAGCAGGGGAAGGAAGGAGGCTGGAAAAGGAAACGCTCTAGACCACCTGCGCCCAGAGGGCTGGTGGGATGCGCCGGTACACCCGAACTCATTATGGCCTGTGCAGGTCGGTATTCCAAGAAGCACTCTGAGAGAATTGTGGTGCGGGTAGGCCAGCTTACATGCAGTTTGTGCATTCAGAGCCCTCAGGGTTGCCCGACCCCCAGCCCATGGCATTTGCGCAATGGGCTGCAAAAGTAGTACAACCTTTGTGTAGTTGCCGTTGGCGATCGAAGGATCGAGAATCGATGTTTCAAGCGCTTCTGAACGATTTGCGACGTTTTGCGTCCTGGCGAGTCCTGAGGGGTCCCTCTGGCAGGCGGGGTTGCATTCGGTACTTCTGAAGGGGGGGCGGCTTGGCTTCGAGTGTCTCGCTTTTCGATGGATATCTCATGTGGTCGAAGTCAATCTGCAAGACGAGCATGGCGTGCGCACGGGAATTGTGTTTCATCCCTGGGCCCGGAACCGGGAGGCGATCCGCTGACCAAGATTCAATGCGAGAGTGCGGCCTGAATGCGCTTTCTGGCAGTCCACCGGTTCAGCCGCGGGGAATGGCCCAGCACCAGCGTCGCACACGCACATGAGATCAATGGAGAAGTAGGAAGGAGTAGGAAGGGGGAGGGGAAGGAGGAAGAAGAGGACGAGGAGGAGGAGGAGGAGGATCGGAAGGGAGGAGAAGAAGGGCGAGGGGAAGGAGAGGGGAGGGGAGGAGGATGTGGGAGGAGAGGGAGGAGGGGTGGATGAGGCGGAGGAGCAGCAGGAGGGAGCAACACCGATCGGATCTGAGGTGCTCGATGAAGCACGGACTCTCCAGGGTAGCCGCAAGAGTGCAGGCGCCGGGCCGAAGCTGTACCCGTGCGGCGCTGTGCCGAGGGAGACGCTGGTAGCCGAGGGCTGGCCGGAGGTGAACGCCACGCGGTGCCCGCGGGGCCAGGACGGCGACCACCGTCCGCAGGAGCCCATCGACCCCACGGAGATGGACTTCCTCGCATGCGGGCTCATCTCCAGGGGCAAGTTCGTGGTCTGGACGCCGCACCTGTTCCTCTCCACGGACGGCCGGCTGCGGGGGCTCCTGGAGTGGGCGCGCAGCCACACGGCGTGCGACTTCTCCGTCGTGGAGAGGTGCCCAAACAGCTCCTTCTGGAGGGAGAGGGAGCGCTGACCAGGGCCAAGATCGAGCGCCGCAACGTCTGCGCCGAGCGCGGTCGCCGTCCAGCTGGCCAATCGTGAGGCCGCGGATCGTCCCCGCGAGCCGGCGGCCAGCATGGACCACGACCAAGGTCTGCATCGACGTTGCCCCGCGGCGTCTTTCGCCGAGCGCGTTCCACTACTCGCAAAGTGCCTACTCGCAAACGTCCGAACAAAAACACGCCTGTCTGCTTTGATGTAATTTACCGTCGATCCCCCGCGAGGGATCCAGGCCACGTGCAAGCAGTCACTCTGCGAGTAGTGGAGCGCGCTCGTGGAGTCTTGGTCTTGGTCGTGGCCATCGTGACTCTTCCCTCGACCGTCGTCCTCGTCGACGCGAGCGACGGCCCAGGCGAAGGCGGAGAGGCGCCAGGCGCCCGCCGGGGACCCCTGCCCTGCGCCCCCGAGTTCGACGTGACGTCCAAGCCGCTGCCCGCCCCGGCGCGCCGCGCACTCGCGGCTGCGGCGCTGGAGCTGTTCGAGGCCACCGCGAGCGGCGTCGGCGTGGACGAGCTCGACGCCGCGGAGGCCCACGTCTCAAAGTCGACCCGCATGGGAAGGATGGGCAGCCTTCCCAAAAGGGTACCCTCGCATCTTCTTGCCTCCTCGGCCCGTCCCGGGCTGCTTTCGCTGGCCGCGCTCCACCCGCGAAGTGTCGGCATGGTCTTCCGAGGCCCTCGCATCCTTGGCGTGCGTTCTTTTGATGCGGGTCGACTGTGGTGGCTCCTGGAAGCGACAGGGCAGTTGGTTGTCCGTTTTCGTTTTGCCCTTTTGTTCCCCAGTTCCGGCGCCGTTTTTGTTGCTTCGGTTTCGTCGCCGATTGTGTCCGGCTTCGGCTGTGGCTCGAATCCGGGAGTTGTCTTTTCCGGTTTAGGCGAGCTGTGTTCCACCGTTTCTTTTCCCAAGATTCCGAGCGGCAAAATCACGGTCCTGCCGTTTCCAAGAACCATTGAGGCCGAGATGGCCTTCGGGATCATACGGAAGGCGACATCAGAAGGCGTGTTCGGATGCATTTTCTGGGAGGTCAAATTCCGACTTGCCCCGGTCCGACATCCGTCTGAATCCGGCTTACAGCCAAGTCGCTGAAATTAGGAACAGTTTGGGTAAGAAAGGGGCTCGATATTCCTTGGGTCCTTCTATGGCATGTCCTCTAGCCTTCCTCGTGCACGTAGGCGCTTGTGGGGCCAAAAAGGGGCTTCGTTCCTTGTTTATCGTTCCTTCAGCAGCCCGACTGTACTCACGCTTCATCCCGCTGGATCCGGCTGAATCCCGCTTCGTCCGCGGCCTGAGCCGACGCAGCAGCACCCCCGTACGTGCCCAGAGCTCCCCGGCCCTGCCGGCGCAGACCTCCCAGCAGCTGCCTCCCGAGGCGTGCGGGCACGGACTTTCTCTCAAGGTCGCCCCCCGGGCGGGCGCGGAGAGGCCTGGCGCGTCGCGGCCGGGGCAGGAGTCCTCCGCCCTTCCCCAGGGGGGCGGCGCCACGGCGCGAAGAGGACCCCCGCACCGCGGGGCGCGATGCGCAGAGGCGGGTGACCTGCGCTCTCCCACAGCCGCGGCGCTGGGGCCCCCCTCCCGACACTTCCGGGCGGCGCCTTCGGCGCCGCCTTTGGGCGTCGCGCCAGGGGGGGGGGGCGATCACTGTCGGCGGCGAGCGAGGGGGGAAATGAGAAGAAGAAGGCCTTCTCAGAAGGCGGCGGGACTTCTCAGAAGCTCTCGCGCCCTCTGACAAGTTTCTGTCTGTCTTCGGGGAAGGCTTGGAGCACTTCTCAGAAGGCCGGGGGACTTTTCGAACCTTTTGAGGAGGCCTTCTCCTTCTCGCTTCCCCCCCTCGCTCGACGCGGAGCTGCGAGGGCTGCAGAAAAGATGCTTTTTTGCCCCCCCCCCCCCCCCCCCCCCCCCCCCCCCCCCCAAAGAGCGCCCTCTGGAGCCCGAGAAATGTGTCTGTATCCCCGTCTGTGTATCTCCCCCTCACTCAGCGACGCCCAACGCACCCAGCGCGCCCCGCTCGCCAGGGCAGGACTGGAGAAAGGAGCCTGGCCAGCGCCAGCCCCGAGGAGTCCCCGCGGCGGACTGCTACCATCTCAGCGCGCGCATGATCGCGCCGTGTATAATTAGCCTGGCGAAGGACCCAACCATATGCAGTTGAGAGTACCGCAATTGTGAATATCTTCTTCGGTGGCGCTCCCTATGGGGCCACGAGCCGTATGAGGGGTGTGCCGAAATGCGTGGCAGTGTACACAACACGAACGAAGACGATAGGTCCGAATATGAAAGCTTGAGCGCGTGCGAGTCGGATCGCGAGCGAGTCTGATTATGAATGAATCTGCGCGCGATTGATTCTATTCGCATGAATGCGTGCATGGATACGCCCAGTGTAAATGTATGTATACGACTGTGAACAGTTTGGGTCTGCGTGACTCTCGGTACTCGTGACTCTGAGCGTCGCCTCTGCAGGGGGCTTCCCTGGGAACCCCGACGGCAGCGCCCGCGCGCCGCGACGCCCATGTCGGCACGCCACACACCTGGTGTGCGGGACGCATGCGGACGGCAGCATGGGGCCTTCGGTGGAGCTCCCTGTGGGGCCACGAAACGGGTGAGGGGTGTGCCGAAATGGGTGTGCGGGACGCATGCGGACGGCAGCCTGGGGCCTTCGGTGGAGCTCCCTATGGGGCCACGAAACGTGTGAGGGGTGTGCCGAAATGGGTGTGCGGGACGCATGCGGACGGCAGCATGGGGCCTTCGGTGGAGCTCCCTATGGGGCCACGAAACGTGTGAGGGGTGTGCCGAAATGGGTGTGCGGGACGCATGCGGACGGCAGCCTGGGGCCTTCGGTGGAGCTCCCTGTGGGGCCACGAAACGTGTGAGGGGTGTGCCGAAATGGGTGTGCGGGACGCATGCGGACGGCAGCACTGGGGCCTTCGGTGGAGCTCCCTGTGGGGCCACGAAACGTGTGAGGGGTGTGCCGAAATGGGTGTGCGGGACGCATGCGGACGGCAGCCATGGGGCCTTCGGCGGAGCTCCCTATGGGGCTACGAAACGCTGTACTGGGCGGGTGAAACGCAAGGAAGAGGGGGAGGAGGAAGCGGAGGAGGAGGAAGGAGGAAGGAGACGCGGGGCACCGTCTCTTCAAAACGAGGACCCAACACCACAGGATGGTTGGGAAAAACACGACGGGTGTTTTTGTGGCCGTTTCCGGGTTCTGGGGGCCTTCGCTGGGCCTCGGGTCAAACAATCATTCGGGATGAACAGCCGGCCTTGGCGAAAGGGTCGGGATTTCTGGGCAGTCCGTCTTGAGGAAAGCCCGGCGTCGCACGTCCAGGATGCGGGCCCCAAGAATATACACCACCACCCCGTCGACTCCTCCTCCCTCCTCTACCCTCCTCTTCCACTCCTCCTTCCTCGTAGAGGGAGGGGGTGAGGGAGGTGGTGGTGGTGTGTATTTCTTGGGCCCGGTATGGGAAAGTCCGTGCCTAGTGCCGCTGATTTGCCCTCTGCCGTCCTGGGCTACCCGAAGCGCCTCGGGCTGCCCGAAATGCCCGCAGCGGTCCCTGAGAGGGTCTCCGCAGGTGGCCTCCCGAGATCCCCAGCGGAAGCCTCCAGAGGTTCGCAGAGGGCCGCACGGGGGGGGGCGCAGCGGCGCGCCAAAAGTCAGGCGATCGCAAACATGGATCAAGGGGGCATGGCTTAGCGACGGGTCCCGTTTCCATGAGCATGAGAAATCGCGGATCTCAGTCGCCGAACGAGGCGGCACCGGCCGCACTTCTGCGGAGGGCACCTCCCCCGATCCATGGATGTGGCGACCGCGCGCCAAATCCGTGCATCGCTAATCCATGCTTGCGCGCCCCCGGAAAAGTCTCGAGCCCAGAACTCCCATCTGGTCCTCGCGAGGGGTGTCCTGGAGGCCATCCGAGCCTCCGTACCAGAGTCAGGCCGCACGAGAGGGCAGGACAGGGAAAGGGGGGGCTACGAAGTCTGCTGCGCGCAGCTGGGCTCCGCCCCGCCGCTGGGGCCCATCCCTCGATGCATGGGCGCCTCCCGGCGCCAGGAGAGCCAGCTGCGCGAGCTGATTCTCTGCCCTGCCCTTTGCTGTCCTACCCTTATGATGTTCCAACCTACTTGAGCCTCGACCACCAGAACAAAAATCGAGCACCAAGAAAGTACCAAAACTGGTGGGTTGCCGCGTGTCGTGCCCTGGGAGGCGATACTCGTTCGACATAGTTTCGATATTGTTCTGGGTGCTCGAAATTATTTTGGGGATGTGGTCCTTAAGTGCGATGGGAGCAACATAATCCTACCCTTTCGTACTCCCCGACAGAGCCGCGGCCACCTTAGGCAACGGCACGGCCACCTCCCCCTGGGCTTCCTGCTGGCCCCCGCTGTGGCGTCTGGGCCACGAATGGGCAGCGGAGCGGGCTTAGCCCCGACAGGGCCGTAGGATGAAGTCGGGCGTGTCCTTCTACAGGAAGCCTGTTCAACCACAGTCCGAAAATAGTCGGGGAACGACTGTTTGTGGACTACGTTTGAGTATGTTTTGCGTTTGTTTTTGTTTGAGCATGTTTTGCGTACTGTCTGACTACTCTTATTTGTTTCGTCCAAGATCCGCCTATAGGGCACGGTTTTTTCGTCCAAAAATAGTAGGGGAACGATTTGTTGTTTTATTTGTTGAGCATGTTTTGCGCATTGTCTGGCTGTTTTTTTTTGTCATCCAAAATCCGCCTGTAGGGGGGACACGCCCGACCTACTCGTGGGAGTCGAGCCCGGCCACCTCGTGGGCTCGATCCCGGGTCCGTGCGACCGCCGTCCGAGCCCCGACGACGCACGGGCCAAAAAGGCTCACGAGGAGTCGAAAAACAACAACAAAAGGCGGCACCTGTTTTGCAACATAAGGCGACACGAGCAATACCATAAGGCGAAACGAGCTCGCCTTATGATATTGCAACCTGTTTTAGCCTTGGCCACCAGAAAGAATTTCGAGCGCACCAGAAAAATGTCGAAACTCGAGGGTTTTCACGTGTCGGGCCCTGGGAGACACTCGTTCGACACTGTTTCGACACTCTTTCGACACACTTCCAGGTGCTCAAAATTATTTCTGGGACGTGGTCCTTAAGTGCGGTTGGAGCAACATAAAGCTTGTCGCGGTCCGCGCGGGTTTCTTGGATCTGCGCTGAGACCCCTGGGCGGCGACTCCGGCGCAGACCCGGCGCAGGTCCAAGACGTCCGGATCGGCCCGTCAAAGTGTTACGTTCTAGTCGCGCTTGTCAAAAATATTACAAAATAGTTTGGGGACGATGTTTTGAGCATTTTTGACTATTTTTGATTGGTCTTTGAGTATGTTTGATTCTTCGTCCAAGACCCGTCTGTAGGGGGACACGCCGACCTACTGTTATGTGTATATGCCGCTTTTTGGTTCTTCCAGAGCGGGCTCAGGAGGGAACCTTTGGCCGCCACACACACACACACGCACGCACGCACACACACACAGACGCACACACACACGCACACACACACACGCGCACACACACACACACGCACACGCACACACGCACGCATACAACACACACACACACACGAGATCCCCCAGAAAAGAATGGGAAATATGGGAAGTTGAGGGGAAGACGAACATCCAATACATGTGGAACCAATGCGGAACCTGGAACTTGTGAATATTTATTTGTGCCTCTCTGGGCGCCTTTGTCTGGCCGCGCCCAGACCTCGAGGTACGCCACCCGCGCCTATCTGGGCGCCCAGGAGCCGGCTTTCAGCGCGGCGTACCGCAGGGCAGCTGGTTGGCTCCTCAGGCACCTGCCGCCAGGCACGGACGCCGCGGCCGGTGGGCCAACCCGAGGGGCCGGGCCGAGAAACGAGCACAAGAGCGACGAGGGAGAAGGGGACCAATTGCGCCGGCACTCGCGTGCAGGCTTCCCGCGCCAGGTCGCGCGCGAGCGCCCTCGCTTCCAATGCACCGTGCTGCGCTGGCAGCCCGCATACGCCACCGAGTGAGGTCGCTATGCCATCTCGAGCAGGGCCCTTTTTTTCGTTGCCCACACGGCGGGCGAGGAGCACGTCCCGCATCCAGGGCCTCGCGGTCCGGGCCTTTCCCTGCCGCGATCCCACGGGTGCAGGGCAGCTCTGCGCGGATGGCCCGCCTGGG